CATGTTTTGCTCGCATGTGGTATGGGAGAAAGGGTTACCGCCACAATTTTTTAAATTCCAGGCAAGTGTGGTCATCTTTTCACGCTCCTAGCAGCTACAGTGCAGATCACACGTCCATCTCTGGCCAGCTGCTCCAGGAGCAAACTACTTAAATAACATTGTCCACAAGATGACTTTAGACACGATGAGCACAGTGGGTTTGGAAGTGCTGCCCCCGTGTGCTGTAAGATCGCACCCAGAGTAACACCTGGCAGGGGGGAGGGGGGAATACGGCGCTTCCTCATCACTGAATTCATTCTTTCCCTTGCTTTTCCACACACTCCTGACTCTCCCACAGCTGTCGGAGGTTTGAAAATGAGCAACTCACGGAAACATTTCACAGGCTCTGTCCGCACCCTAGGATGAGCTCCCTATCCTCTCCCCAAGAGCTAAGGGCTGTTTTTTTTGTTTGTTTGTTTTATTTTTTTCTGAAAGATATCACTTCTTTAGACATTGGAGAAAGCAGGCAGCTTCAAAACCTTCTCTATGTGCTTATGGAGCCTCGGGCCGTAAGAGGCTCGTTGATAAGGAACAGACCCCAAAGCAGGCAAGGTAAAGAACTCAAATCATCCTGCCGAGAAGTAACATTTCTTTACTTTTTCTTTCTTTCTTGTTTTTTTTTAAAGATTTTATTTATTTACTTGACAGGCAGAGATCACAAGTAGGCAGAGAGGCAGGCAGAGAGAGAGGGGGAAACAGGCTCCCCGCTGAGCAGAGAGCCCAACGCGGGTCTCGATCCCAGGACCCTGATATCATGACCTGAGCCGAAGGCAGAGGCTTTAACCCACTGAGCCACCCAGGTGCCCTTATTTACTTTCTTCTCCCCAAGACTTTACGGAGGTGTCATGGATATACAGGGAAATGCGCAAATGCTCCGCGGACAGGTCTACACCCGAGTGACGAGTGATGTGAAGACCACCTAGGCCAACTCATGGACCATTTGCATCACCCCACGCTTCCTGGTGCCCATACCCAGGCAAGATCCTCTCCTGTTGGGGGGAGCCGCTCTCAACATAAGAAGGAGGTCACCTGTTTTTGAACTTCAAACACATGGATGCACCCCGTGTGTACTCTGGCCTCTTTTTAAGATACGTCCCCTCGGTCATTCTTTTTGATCGCTCAGTAGTATTGCATCATACAAACATACCAACCACTTTCTGCATTCTCCTAACTCGTTACTTTTAAAGCTCTTTGTTGTTAGGACAGATTACATCTGCGTGCATTGCCCAGCGTGCCTGTCCCTTTATGGGAAAGATAGCAAGATCGGCAGGCATGCGCGTGATTGGGTTGATCGAGAGCACGCAGCATGGGGCTCAGTACGCGGCCAGGAATTGCGGCCCATCCTCGTGAGATGTTTATTCCTTGTCCGTCATTAAGTGTATAAGGAACTGGCCTTTTTGGAAGCCATACTTCAAACCCAAAATCAAGTGGTTTTCTTCTATAGGGGCAGCGGCCCATAATCTGATTTTCCTAATTATTCCCCAATGTAAAGTGTGCGCAGAGCGACGGTGTGGGCTATCCTTCTGTAACGTGCTAAGGCGTGGAAGGCGGAGTTGATGAGGACAGGAGCGAAGGTCACACTTCAGCTTCTTGTTAAATTCTCTTTTTAATTAAAAACCAACACTTTCTAATCTTCAAGTGAATATTGATGTTTGCTGCTCTATAAACCGATTTGGAAAGTCGTTTTGGTTAGACAAGCGTGGAGGGAACACTGTGTAAAATCCCCAGGAGCCAGGCCAGTAAGAGAGGAGAATTTGCGGGGGGGGGGGGGGGGTGTATCATTGTCCCTCCTTCATCCAGCCCAGAAAAAAATATAAATCAGTCCACAGCCATCAAGTCAGTGTTTGACCTGCTGTCTGAGATGCACACGAGACAAGCCATTGCAACTCACATAGTAATTTAAGATAATCTTCAGGGGCACCTGGGTGGCTCAGTGGGTTAAAGCTTCTGCCTTAGGCTCAGGTCATGATCTTAGGGTCCTGGGATCGAGCCCCACATCAGGCTCTCTGCTCAGTGGGGAGCCTGCTTCCCCCTCTCTCTCTGCCTGCCTTTCTGCCTACTTGTGATCTTTCTCTCTCTCTGTGTCAAATAAATAAATAAAATCTTTAAAAAAAAAAGATAATCTTCAAAGCTGCCTTTAATAAGAGATCATCCCCTTCTCCAGCTGAGAACGTGCGAGGGACAAACAGCGTGTGTGAATGCACACATCGTCTCTCTGCAGAAAAGGGAGTGATTGTAAACTTAACCGAGAAGTCACTGCTTTGCAGGGATTTCTCGGTAATATATGACCATGTTTCTACACAAACGATTTCTACAGCATGCCAGGAACCCCGCGGTCATGTAAGGCCCAGTGGAGTTCCTCGAGGAACTAGGAATCACTTGGTTGTCGTGAGTTGTCCTGCTTGAAACAGGTGGGCATCGTCAGGCTCAGGTGTGTTCTAGAGAAATTCGTTCATGGTGTAATGATACTTTTAAAAGTAGGATTCCGCACGTCTCTGTGCTGTTCATAGGAGCAGTTAAAAAGGGAAGATTGTAAGTTCTGTGCATTTGCTGGAAAGTTGGACGCACTGATGAACTATTCAAACAACTGATTACTCGTGGGGATGGGCACAGGACTGTCCCTCTGCTGCCAGTTCTGGGGGCCCAGGAGCATGGCTCTGCTCTGTTTTCCTTCCCACGCTACCTTTCCGCCCCCCCGGGGCCTGTGGCTGTGCTGAGGGCAGCTGGAGGGAGAGGGTGTCTGTGGGCCTCCCAAGGCAGTGTGGGACATCTCACGTGTGTCCTTCTTTAAACTGTCGGTTCTGTGCATCAGCTTCTCAAAGGGGCCAGAGACCCCCGCTCTCGATGACAGCATCCCTCCAGGATCGAGAGCACTGTCTAGCCGAACTGTGCCACTTGGGATGTCAATAACCCAGTTCGCAACCTTTCTGTGTTTCCCCCAGTCTGGCTAGACACACCCCCAGTGGGGCCTTCCAAAGCCTCAGAGACCTCTGGCCCTCCGCTGTCCCTGACCCCGGCCTCCAAATATTTTCCAAATGTCGTGGTTTGCAACCCTCAAAGCTCACTGTTGTCTGTCCCTTCCCTCTGGTACCACTTTGGTACTTGGCCTTGGAGACTCAGGGCTGGCCTGTTTCAGGAGCTTCTGAATTGCTCTCTGACACTGGCTTTTGCTTCCATCCACCCTTGGCATCAATCCAACAGGTCAGGCCTCTGCTCAGACCCTCTCAGAGCCTTGGGGTGCTCCGAATGGGGCATGGTCGAGCTCTTCCCCACCCCAGATGCTCAACCACACCAGGCCATGTGCCTTTTTTCTTGTCCCTTCACACCCCCGGGTGCCTGTCTTCACTCAGCGTTCTCTCCCTGTCCCTCTCCCCTCTGTCTGCTGAGTATTCTCTCCCTTTACTGCACAACGGCCAAGGGTGATTTTACCCCATCCCAGGTCAGATGGCTCTACCCCTGCAAGCCTCCTCTCCCCCACCTCACTGGGTTCCTAACTGCATGGCCCGTGAGTCCTGTGTCACCGCAGGTTGCATGTGCTGTCCTGGAGGGCAAGTCTTTGTCCCTGTGGTCTGTGCACCCCCAGCAGGAGGACAGGGCTTGGCACCCACTGGACGACACTGACCTTTGCTGAATGGTGCGGAAGGAGTTAGTGTGGCGGGCCCTGAGCGGGCACAGAGGAGAACGTTCACCCTTGAGCCACATTTGGGACCCAGACTCTCCTGTCCTTCCCAGGGGACCCCCAGTCTCAGCCTGACCCCACCCCTCAGCCCTGGCCCAGCGGGAAACAGCCTTAATTCTTCTGACTCCTAGTCTGGGGCTCCTTCCACTTGCGTCTCCTGGGATCTGTTCACCTCCCTCCTAAGTCACCCAGGGCCTGGAACTGGTACTCCAGGCTCCCGCCTTACTCCTCCACCCACGGTCCTGGTGTCTGCCATATCAATAGGTACACCCAAATCTGATCGCATCATCCCAACTGGAAAATCCTTTCCCCGCTCGGCTTCCAGCATTTACAAGGCCCGCCCGGCCCTCTTTTGCCTTCTGCTCTCCCTGAAGTCTGGGCCCTGTCCCCTCTGGTTTCCCTCTTCTCTCTGCCTGAACACTCGGACCTGAATCCAGGCCAGTCCGGACTCCTGGGCCTTCACATCACCTCTTGGGAAACACCCCGAGCACCCCTGGGACCAGGCAAGTGTTCGCAGGGCGCCCAGGGGCCGGCGGGGCCCACCACACCGCCGCTTCTTAAGGGCGGGGACCGTTCACGGGGGTTACCCCGGCCCCAGGCCCGGTTCTGGGCAGAAGCTCAACAAGTGAAATGACCCTTCCCTGCGGTTCTTTGACGCACGTCGTCGCGCTCCTCGCAGGAGCCTTGGCACCATCACCGGAGCCCGCGGGCGCAGGGCTCAAACGTGTAGGACGAAAGGCCGCAGGGAGCCCGGGGGGACGGTCCCACGCGGCCCTCGGGACCGATCCCCTTCACTTCTCGGGGGGGGGGGGGGAGACGCGCGCCCCCGGGGGGGGGGGCCCGAGGGGGCAGCCCCGGCCGGCGGCG